CATCACCTCTGACATCCTGGAACCGCTGCCACGAATTGCTGATGGCAACAAATACATCCTCATTGTCATTGATTACTTCACTAAAAGGCCTGAAGGGTACTCTATTCTTGATCAGGAGGCTGTCATGGTAGTAGAAGTAATGATACAGCATTGGATTTCCAGGTTTGGAGTGCCTCTTCAATTAAATTCTGATCAAGGAAGAAATTCTGCATTGGCTGTAATAAAAGAATACTGCAAGTTACTCAGAATTGCCAAAACCAAAAATTTACATCTCCAGTCAGATGGCATGGTAAAGAGATTTAATCGAACCATCCTTAATAACCTCTTGTTAGTGTTTTTCAGAAAACAACAGGACTGGGACAAGAAGTTACCTCTGTTTTTACTGGTTTATCACAGCGCTATCCACAAGACTACCGGCTATTCCTCATCCCAGATGCTCTTCAGTCATGATCTTCATCTGCCTTGTGATACCAAATATATCAAATACAAGACTACCGGCTATTCCTCATCGCAGATGCTCTTCAGTCGTGACCTTCATCTGCCTTGTGATACCAAACATAACAGATACATATATACAAATGCCAAGCATACCAAATATACGTAATCATAAGTCCTGATTTGCTGATACAGTGATTGCGAAAAATAATTAAAAAATAAGGTATGTGATTCAGCTTTACATTAATCATTACAATAATGCTTTATTCAACTTTAGAAAAAAATTACATAGTTTTATCTGTAAGTTCAGTTAATCTAATGTCTATAAATACTTAACAAAATTTGATATTAAGGTAATTATAAAATTTAAAATTTTGAATTTTCTTTAATAATTTTTGTTTAAAACAAATAAAAGTTTGAGTTTCCTAATTTTAGTCATTTTATTTAGATGGCCGAAAAAGAAAAAAATTGTCTGATTATCAAAACTTGCTTAACAAACAAAAATGAGAGGGAGCAATTCAAATGTTACCAACTTATTTTGGAAGCTAACGTTTTCAAGACAGTACTTCTACTGATAATAGTGGTTTTCCATTTCCATTAACATCAGAAAAAGGAAAGGAAGACAATAAGGATCCAATAGATTCAGTTTCGGATATGTTTCAGTCAGTACTATTATGTTCGAGTAAGCAAAATGAATTATCAGAAGACACATATTTGTCCATCGCTCCAGGTTTTTGGCTAACTATATTATCACCAATGCAGCTGGAACAACTAGTCAAAAAAGTTCCTATGATAAAACTATGCATCCTAAAAACAAAAATGGGCGTAAGTTTTCTCATATATATTTCACTTGTATTTTGGCAAATGGTGAAAAGGTTCAGGAGATTGGTTACTATATTCAATTAAGAAAAATGTAGTTTTTTGTTTCTGTTGTAAAATAGTCAATGACATCAATAACATTTTGACCTTTAAAAATACTAAATTATGTAAACAAAAAGGTTTCAATGATTGGGATCACTTAAGCAAACATTTGAAAATTCATGAAAAAGTAAATCTCAATATCATAATTTATGTTTCTGGTCAGATTTATTACAAAGATTAAGAACTAACTGAACCATAGATTCCAAAATGCAAAATATATTAAAAAATGAAACTACAGACTAGCACCATGTCATTGAAAGAATAATTTATACAGTTCAACTTTTGGCTGAAAAAAAAAAAAAAACTTGGTCTTTTGTGGCTCTAGTAACAAATTATATGAAAGAAATAATGGATATTTTGAAAAATATATAGAAATGATAGCAAAACGTGACCCAATCATGTCTGTACATATCATTAGGGTAAAAAAAATATGCCCCTTTGTCTTTCGACATAAAATTTAAAACGAAACAATAGATAATAATATAAGAAAAAATATTTTAAATGAAGATAAAAAAGCAAAGTATTTTTCTATATTACTTAATTGCATTCCCGATGTGAGCCACCAGGAGGGAATTTCTGTTTATGTAATATATGTTAATTTAAAAAACAATAAATTTCATACTGAAGAATGTTTTTAACATTCTGTCCTGTAAGTGATACAAAAGTTAAAGGTTTAATCAACATTTTTACTGAAAACCTTAGAAAATTATGGATTAGATATTTATAATAATGTGCGACAAGGATATGAAAATTGTTTGAATATGAAGGGTAAAAATCAAGATGTATACAAAAACAGTTTTAGTAATTTATAAAATACAATTTGTATTAATTCACAAGCAATACTTGTATCTTGCTGTAACCACAGTCTGCATCTTGTCATAAACTATGCTGTGAAATCCAATATGTTTTATGTAGTATAAACGTTTTTTCAACTGCTTGACAGCTATATAATTTTTTCTTCTGCTTCAACCATTCGGAGTCTTTTTTGAAAATTAACATTTCAAATTTAACATTAAAACCTTTGTCAGATACCTGATGGTCTAACATAATTGATGCAGGAACCTCTCTAACATTATCATTAAGTGCAATTTAGTATGCTTTTTATAAAATGTCTGGAAATAATTTTGATACACTATAAAACATCTGGATACTTCTCTAGTTAAAAAAAAATTTAATTGAAATTTAAATGAATTTGCACATGTGTTAGTGTTATGGTACAAGATACCAAGTAAAGTTGATGCTGTTAATAAGGTTCTGAAAACTAAAAAATACATATTTCACAGGCTTGCAAATGTCTGAACAACCTGAATATCTTTCTAAAGACATATTGATCATATAAAGGCTTCAATGATATACATGTAGATGCCAAAGCCTTGCCACCTTGCTTGGAAGTAGAAGCGATATTCAAATATGCAGAAATTATAAGGGGGGGGGTGGAATTCCTACAACAGTGAAGTTCAGCAAATTGAAAATTAAGAATTATTATTATTATTATTTTAATTCTAGATATTACTCTTTCATCTGTAAATGAAAGATCTGAGCTGTTATCCTCTCATTATGATGTTTTCAAATTTTTGTGGAGTATTAACGATTTTGGCAAGCATGCTGATCAATTTAATTAAAAAAAAAAAAAAAAACTTGATGAAGCTTTAACTTACAAAATCGTTACTCAATTAACAGTTACTATTAAACTGAACTATTATTCAAACCGAAAAAGATGTGGATGGAACAGTACTTTTACATGAACTACAATTTCTGCAAAATTGCAACAAAAATGTGATGTCTGTGGTAGAACACCTGTGGTAGAACACTCAATTACATTACAATAAATGGCCCACTCATTCTGAAACATTACAATTGCATTACATATATTGTTAACTTCATGAGTTTCTGTAGCTACAGAAAAGAGATTGTTTTCTAAATTAAAGTTAATTACTTATGATTATAACTGGCCAGGAGCACTTTGGAAATTTTGCTGCTGTTTGTATAGAGGTTGACTTTTTAACTGAAAACCTTAGTAATGAATTTGCTGAAAGTAAAGCTAGAAATGTCCAATTCATATAAGACATTTCCATTGTTTTCCATCATGTATAACTATTCAAAAACATGAGCAATCTAAACATATTTAATTTGATCTTTATTTTTTAATAATTTTGCATAATGTTTTATAACTTTAACACTGTTGTTTGTTTTGTTGCTGTAGTTTTAAAAAAAGAAAATATTTTTCTTTTGTATGTGTAGCTGCTGTTTGCCTCAAAAAAAAAAAAAAAAAAAAAAAAGTACCAGTACTAACAAGTATAAAGAGTGTCATAAGTTTCAACATTGAACTGTGGGGGAATGGGCAGTAATTCTGGCTCAATAGATATAGGGTAAAGAAAAGGTACCCTTCAGTATTTTGCACAATGACACCGAAGATACTTAATGCATTCCTGCAGACTTTATATGCCTTTCAGTGATTTCGAGAAGCAGAATGGACTAGAAATATCTTGGTGGCTGGGTGAAAATTATACAAGACCAGAGAGAGCATTTTCTCTTGGTTGTTGTTGTTGTGAGTTGTTAGTTCACCATGAGTTCAGAGTACTGAGATATCTCAGGGTTGGCTTTCTCTTTAAATGTGCTTTGCATTGCATTGTTTAACATTCTTAGTAGTTTTCGGTGTAAATACTGATTGTACTCTGTGATAATGTAAACACTTGTATGAAAATTTCTGTGGAAACTTCCAGAGCTCTGAAACTTTTTTTTTTTTTTTTGATAAAATAAATTTTATCACCCTATCATCAGACCTGTGTGCATTCAATGTATTGCAAACTCATACACATGCAACAATATGAACCTAATTTTGATCAGTCTCCCTTACTGACTTTTGGGAACCTACTTATAGCTTAGATATTGCTTTTGACTGGATATTCTCAACTATTAACTGCCTACTCTGAAATCAAACTGTTGTCCAAAAATGTTTGTTTCTTTAGCAATGGAAACAACCATTGAAAAACATTATAAAAAAATGAATAGGTACATATTTAAAATATACTATTAAGCTTAGCAAAGAGAATATAGAACAAGTTAAGCTTGATAAAGAGAGCAAAGGTAGTGCCTTGAAAGGCAATAGCTTTCTTGAAGGCAAAACGTTCGGACCATTTAGACATTATTTCTGACTCTAAAATACAGACTACCAGATTCCTCTGCTGCTGACAAGTCATACCCAATCAAGGTAAATTGGCTTCTCAAGAATGCAGATTATTATTACTCAAATAGTTACCCTATTCCCAAAAGAGAATCGTTTCACAATGGATACCATCTCATCATGGCATACTTGAGAAAAAGGTGTCAAATGATCTGGCAAAGAAAGATACAAAAAATAATGCAAAGTTTTTACAATAAAACATCTTGTAAGATCACAGATAGCAAATTTAGAAGTTCTTTAATTTTTAATCTCCAAAATTATATTAAAAATGAAGTCTGGAGCAATGGTTTTGATGATTTTTCAGACTGTTCTCTAGACAGTGCAGTAGTAAAACAAAATAGCACAAAATAAGCTAATAAAACTATTCACTATAATAAACATTATAGTAGTTAATTATATTTAAACATTATAGTAAGTACATTTTAAAAATCAGAAGGAAAAATTTAAAAGTACAACTTACTCAAACTCAGATTTTCAGGATCAATGTCTAAACTATAAGGGAAAAAAATAATGTTACAGAAGATTTCAACAAAACATGTAATATATATATTATCTTACTACAGACATAAATATCATGTTATGCAAAGAACAATTACATATGATATTTTTAACAGTTATTTTATCAGTGTTTGTCAACAGATAAGAGCACTAATCTGCAGAAATTAAGATAATTGACTATCTGTCTATAATAGTTTTATTAGAAGGTTTTCTTTTTAGCCTGTTATGATCTCAAAGTTTTAGCAGTCCCATCATTTAAGCACTTAAGCATGAAAGAACATCATTGTTCAGCAGAGTTTTTAAATTTTTAACACACATATTCATATTATAGTTTAAATGCACACATGAACAAAAAAATGCAAGTGCCATTCGGATTGTTTTATTGACAAAATAGGGTGGATGGAATATGAATCCTGTATTAGGAATTTTTTTCTGTTCTTATTTTTTTCCCTGTTTATTTTCACTCTTTTCAAGCAGCCCAGATTAAAGGAGGCAGAAAATTACTTTTAAATAATCTAAGATAGTATGCTAATCATCAATTGTAATTAACTGTTTGATAACATTGTGTTAACTTTGTGCATTCTATATTTATCTATATATTGGTAAAAATATGAGCATTTTAAAAGCTTATTTTACTATACATACATAATTTTACAACAGTACCATTATTAATTATTACTGTATAATAGCTGCTATAATAATTATTTAACTATTATATTTTACTGTATAATTTTTATTAAAATGAATTATAATCTATACATATTTTATCTTTGAACTAAAATATATGCACACTGCACACAAAAAAAGGGTGAGGGCAGTTCTATATCTCCCATTCTACTGGGCCGATTGAACATATTCAAATTGCATTTTCCATGTCTCTCTGTGCATGTGTGATTATGGCAAAGCCTCGAGGGCTATCTGCTTAAGGAGAGGAATGCCTTCGTGGAGGACTTTCTAAGGGAAACTGGCTCGTATACACATTACACACGGAGAAATCCATGCAGCCAGCTCGTTCACGGGATTCAAACCTTGGACCGAACTACCAGTGTTCAGTTACTTTTACCGCTCGGCCAATGGTGGGCCCTTTACCATGTCTCTAAAGCACAACTTAGGATATATATATTCGATTTATGCATAGCATTGCTCTAACATAGGTATTTTGACACAAAATCAAACTTTTCCTGAAATAACATACAAATTTTTTCCATATTTTGATTCTAGGACTCAAATTATACCTAGATATTAAATTTTGTAATTTTTGGTGAAAACATTATCAAGAAATTTAAAAATTTATCTTTGCAAATTTTTTTTTTTCCCCAGTTTGAGCCAAGAATAATTTATTTGGTAAACTTCTTAATTTGTAACAACCTTAGTTTCCTTTGCCTTTTTTTCATTGTCCACGAGCAGAAAAAAAGACATACTTTCAAATAATTTTTAACAAAGTATGTAAGCCACATTTTCGTTATTATCGCTTATAAAAAATACACCAAATTTCAAAATTCACGTATATCTTAGAAAATTTTGAATATAAAACTCTAGTATTTCACGGATATGCTTAGAAATATATCTACTTTAATATGATGGAAAACATTTTGTAAGTTATAATTCCAAATGTTTCTAAAAAAATTTATAAAAAGTATTTTAAAAATAAATCATAAAAATAGGGCAAATTTTATTTGGAATGAACCTAAATTTCGAACTAAGAAAAGAAGAATCAAATAGGTTTAATAAAAAGAGATATTAATAAATATATATCAAATTCAATTAACATTGAGGAGCTAAAATTTTGAAAGCTAATTTTTAAAAAACTCCTTGTGCAATTTTTACAAAACTTGACAGTTTGGCATAATTTAAGCTGTTGGTTGGTTGGTTGGTTTTTTAAATGGCACAAAACCTCGAGGGTTATTATGCGCCAGACAAATGGTGAGTAAAATTCAAGACGCATAAACAAGTATCAAGTGAATTGATGAAATGAACGTGAAATACTGATGAAGGAATGGAGAAATGACTTTAAAATGTCCAGGCAGAAGTGACTGAAAAAAGCTCTAACAGGTAGAGCAGGATAAAATGTAGTTCAAATCATATGATAAAAGGAGATGTATTTTAAAAAACTTATGAGGTTGATGTGAGGGTTTCTTCCAATGAGATCTGTTAAGTTAACATTCGTAGAGTTAAAATAAAATTCACGTTTCTGACTAAAAGCAGGACAGCAGGTTAAAATATGATTGACTGAAATAGGAACGTTGCAAGTGCCACAAATAGGCTCATTATCTCCTTTCAAGAGGTACTGATGTGTCAGTCTGCAATGACCAATTCGTAAGCGAGTCAGTAGTACATCCTCCTTCTGATTCCCTCTCGACTCCCAGTACTCCAAATTGGGTTTTACCTGCCTTAATTTGTTCAGAGTTTGGCATTCCCAGAATTCTTGCCACTTGAACAAGACCTTTGTTCTAATGTAATTCCATATGTCTGTAAAAGAGACATTGTTTTCTGAGGTAATATCAGCAGATTTTACTGCAATATTGGCAAGTTCATTGCCTTTGTGCCAGCGTGTCCAGGCACCCAGCAGTACGCAATATAATAACCTGCGTTTCTCAAATGGAGGTGTGCCTTTAAAATTTCTAAGACCAAAAGGTGGCTGGTATTTTTATTTATTGATTCAAGAGCATTCAGAGAGTCAGAGTAGATAATGAACTTTCTGCTATTCCGCCTAGAGATAAAGATTAAGACTTTCAAAATGGCAAAAGTTTCCGCGGTAAAGACAGATGCAGCCTTATGAAGTTTACTACTCTTTATTTCTTTATCACAAACAAAAGGTGCCCCGGCATGGTCATGATTCTTTGAGCCATCAGTAAAAATTGCTTTGTAGTTAGAATAACTGCTTCTATGCTCTAGGAAAATTTGTTGGTAATGGATATTGGTACTGCTCTTCTTTAGTTCTCCAAAAATGTTAAGTAGTTGAATGTTCATTTCTTGCCAGGGAGCAATACCGAAAAGGTCAAAGCTTTTGGGATGCAGATCATTTAGGTTAAATTCTTCGATCAGTGAGTGAATGTGAAGATCAAAAGGTGGGATACATGAAGGACAGGCATGGTAAAAACGCCAGTACTGACCAGACGTCATGAGTCAGACAGGATGTTCGGCCTCTGACATTACTTTATAATGAAGATCAATGGACAATTAACTGCTTGTGTCTGAATTCCAAAGAAGGTTCAAAACAGATGACATATAAACTTTGGACTGGAGATGTTCTGAAGGCTCCACAGCAAATCCGTAGCGCTTGATGATGGACTGGATCCAATTTCAGGAGCACAGAAGGTCTTGCTGATCCGTAGATAACACAGCCATAGTCAAGTTTGGAACGGATTAAAGCTCTATAAATGCGGAGCATAGAACAACGTTCTGCTCCCCATGAGGTATTAGCCAGGACTTTCAGTATGTTGAGAGCTTTAGCATTTTTTCTTTTAGGATTTTAGATTGCGAAAGATTAGGATAAAGAGTTTAGGATATGCGGAAGGAAAGTGAGCTTTCTGTCAAAGATAACTCCTAAGAATTTTGCTTCTGGCTCAACACGGATCAAAGAGCCGTTAAGATGCAGCTCTGGATCAGGATGTAGATTTCTTTTGCGACAGAAGTGCACGCAGACTGTCTTCTGGCTAGAAAATTTAAAACCATTGTTGTTGGACCACTTTATGATTCTATTTAGAGCAATTTGTAGTTGTCTCTCAATGTATCTCATATCTTGACCTTGACAATAGATCATCAGATCATCAACATACAGGGAACCATGCACTGTGGGAGGAAGTTCTCTTAAAATGGAATTAATTTTCAGGCTGAAAAGAGTGACACTGAGCACTGAACCTTGTGGTACACCTTCTTGTTGTACAAATACTTGAGAGAGCAACGACCCAACCTTGACTTGGAAAGTGCGGTCCTTCAAAAAGTTTTGAATAAAGATGGGTAGATTACCTCGCAATCCAGTGCTGTAAAGGTCATGAAGAGTTCCATGCCGCCAAGTTCTATCGTACGCCTTTTCCATGTCAAAGAAGATTGAAACCACATGATTTCTTTTCACAAATGCATTGCGTACTGCGGTTTCTAAAAACAGGGCATTATCAAGTGAAGATCTTCCCTTACGGAAACCACTTTGGTAAGGCAATAGGCAACAATTAGTCTCCAGATAGTAGGTGAGACGGTGATTTACCATTTCTTCCATAATCTTGCAAAGGCAGCTAGTGAGCGCGATGGGGCGATAATTTAAAGGATTTTTCGGGTCCTTGCTGGGTTTTACTATAGGAATAAAAAGGCCCTGCACCAGGCAGTAGGAAAAATTTGTTCCTTCCATATCTTATTATACAGAGCAAGAAGGACCACTAGAGATTCATAGGGCAGGTGCTTTATCATCAGATAACTTATGCCATCAGGACCAGAGCAAGTTTATCAGTGTGAGATATTACATTTCTTAATTCAAACATGGTGAGATCTTTATTATAAGATTCTGCATTAGGATTTGAAAAGTTGATTTGAATCCTTTCCAAGTGCATCTTTGTGGGCAGAAACTCTTTTGAGTAATTGCTAGTGCCAGATAGAGCAGCAAATGTATCACCTAAAGCATCCGCTATTTCTTATCTAGTGTTAATCCACTTTCCATCTTTTTCTAGAACAGAAAAGGAATAATCATTATAGAGTCCAGAGGCTTTGCAGACTCTTTCCCAAACCTGTTTGCTAGACATTGAAGAGGTAATAGTGGACATGTAGGCTGCCTATGATTTTCTCTGACTTTGCTGCCTCATTTTTCTTGCATTCGCCTTAGCTTTTTTAAAGGCAAGAAGATTTTCCAGTGTTGGATATCGGCAAAAGATACGGCAAGCTTTCTTTTGCTCTCTCGAAGTTTTATGACAATCATTGCTCCACCAGGGTTTAGGGAACTTTGGGAACTTTGTCGAGGACTTCGGAATACAGAGTTCAGCAGTTTGTACAATAGTATCAGAGAT